TGTTGTATGTATGTATATATATATAGATGTGTATGTATGCATGATGCATGTTTACATATATATATATATGTACCTAGAGGTTCCTTTGTAGTTCCTTTTTGTGGTTCCCTGGATCTTTCTGGTTCAAACCATTTGTTTATGGTTCCGACTTGAATAACTAAATCTTTGGTATTCTTATTATAAAAGATGTTATTCATGAGAATTAAAAACCAGATCTTGTTATTCTTGAGAACACAGGATTTATTCTTGGAACTTTAAAACCAATTCTTGACATTCTTGAGAATAGACAACCCCCTCTTGAAGAATCGCAAGCAATGCTTGATATAGTCTTATAGAATAGAAAATATATTCTTCAGATTCTTAGGCCTGGAAGGTTCGATCTTGTGTTGAGACTCTATGTGGCTCAGAGAGACGGCAGCTTCTATGATTTCATCTTACAGAACATTGGCAAACACCACCAAACATCATCCCAGCATACATCACACCATCATTTACCAAGTCATCCTTCATGACCTTACATGAGCATGCAACACATCGACCATTAGGTTTCCCGGCTCTGGCCTCAGCATGAAGCACAACAAAGCTGCAATCATGTCATGTTGTCTGCTTGATGATTGCTTAAGCTGTGTTGTGCACATGCTTGCATGGGGCCATTGCTTGGCTTGTCTTGGCATATTGTGTCTGAGGCCGAAAGCTTCTCAAGCAACGTACATGCCTGTATGAGGTCATGTGGTCAAAGGCAAGTCACAAAATATATGTGTAATTGTTGCTGCCTCGTCTTGTCATTTTCATTTAGGAAAGCTTGGGTTGATTGCTGTCGCCATGGCGGAGGATGCAAAGCAGATCTTGAAACGAGCCATGCGTTCTATCATTGATGTAAACTGATCGCACTGTTGAGGTATATAGGCTATCATTCTAGATGTTGGGAACTGCTTGCAGGCTGCATCGATTGATGAGGAGCTGAAAGCTCGAACGGTCCATATTTGCAGTTTCGTGATGTGGCCCCTCACTGAGAAGGGCAAGAATCGCAAAGCATCGGCCGATGCTATGAAGCTCAACAAGGACTCTGATATATAATAAACATATTTTGTGTTCATGATTCCAGAGCAAGATTTTTTCTATAAATTACCCGTGAGATTCTGCTGCGCCACTTCGTGCCGAACTTCGCTGTACATCCTCAAGTTGCTCGTGTTCCAGTGATTACCCCGGTGCTCACTTCGATAGCTCGGCAATTCAGTGTGACTTTGCTTGAACTACACATGAGTAAATTGCAGCAAGCATGGATTTGAATACAACAATGCGAAAATACTGCACCATGCCATGCAAGTTTATATACCAAACATTTTTAGGTTTCAATTTGCTGAGACAGGTGGAGATCCCAGAGTCCCAGCTGAACCAGGATTCGCATGCCATCAAGAGCTTTCTGATCGCCCACAAGAGTTGCTTGTCTCGGTATTGTTTCATTGGTGCTGTAGTCGTCAATGTAGCTCGCGACCTCTTGCCCACCCCCCCCCCTCCCGCTTGATCAAATCTCCTTCCAAGTTCGGGCAATCGTCAACAGTTCAGGGCTCATGGAGCGCAGCGATGAGCAGCGCGATCCCGATGTCCAGTATCTGAGCGTCCTTGGCTTTGCACACATGAGAAGATGCCAGCAACCTTATATCTTCTTGCAGACAACATGTTGAGCACAATAGAGCAAGCAGCATACATGCATGCATGACTCAAGTTGTTGATGTGCATGTCTTTATTTATTTTCATGCAGCAAGGATTTGTACCGAGAACGGCTTGGGGATGAAGGTGCTTTGGCCGTTTACCGGGGGCCTCAGCGGCCGAGGGTCCGCCAGGGCCGGGGGCGGGGCGAGGATCATGAAGAGGAGGCGGAAGAAGGCGGCGAGGATGCCATAGTGCCGGCTGAGGAAGGTGATACGGAACCGGAAGGAGATGCAGTTCATGAGGGACCAGCCTTGCCGCCGTGGCTTGGTATCGAGGCCATATTTGATGAACCTCAGGAGGATGAGGAGGACGAGGAGGAGCAAGACAGCGAAGCTGCTTTTGGCCCCGATTTAGTGTCTGCTCCATCTGTGCATTCGCTGGAAGCGGATTCGCAAGCGAGCTCAGTCCACATCATTGACGTGCCGAACTCGCCAGGTGAGTGTATCAACATAGTTGGCATGGAGATTGCTTTTGTTTGTTGTGAACCTATATCAATAAAAATGTGCTACCATGACAGATCCTCCACGAAAGACAACATGGACTGAAGAGAGTTTTGACGATGTGGAGCTGACAGCCACGGCCGCATCGGCAGGCAACCACGGTACGTGTCATGTGTTATATCTGTATAATTTCGAACGGTCATGGTTGTTGCACCTGCCTGCTGCATGGCTAGGTGCTTCCAGCCAAGCTTTCGGATATCTACAGCAGAAGCTAGCTCAGTTGACCAAGTCTCTCGACCCAACTGTATGTCAAGTCATGCCGACTGTTGTGTTGCAAATTTATGATTGTTTGTGTCTATATGTAGCAACTGTTCAACAAGGCTTTGTTGTTATATGCCACATTGCAGGAAGGTGCACCAAGAGCAAGTCCAAATGCGACCTGGTGACATGGACCATATCGAAACGCAGGTCCTGGAAGCTGACTACCTGGACGATCCTCTGCTCCATGAACTTGCATGTCCTTGGTTGGCTACGGTTTGAAGAATAGGTCTTTCGGTGTAGTTATTCTTAATTTTGAAACATGGATCATCCTGCTGCCTTGTCTGGCTAAGGATACTGCAAAGCAGCTGGCAATTGCTTCGAGTCATGAGGATGAGGGATTTATTATAATATAAATCATGTCTGTCACTCCGCAAAACTTGAGACTATACTTGTGTATACAGGAGTTGGCGGTGGACATCAGTGACGATGAGAAGCATGCTTGCAGCAACAGACATGCATGTTAACTGTGCGGTCAAGTGTTTGATAACATGTTGTCGATGATTATCTTGCTGCAGATTCTGTTAATGAGGGGAAGACATGTTTCGTATTTCTATATAAAATGAGGTCCGATGCAACAACCATGCAGCTTGGTGATCATTTGAAGGATGGGGAGCAGGAGGAGTCCCCCGCGGCGATCCCCCCCTTGCATCGTTGCCAATCCAGGGAATGGCGTTCCCAAGACTTGCCGTTGACCCCCCCTCCACCGCCCGCCTCGTGGATGCATCATGATTGTCATGGCGATTCGGTGAGCTTGGAGGTGAGATCTTCGAGTGCCGCACGCAGTAATGGTTCGGAAAGTCCGGAACCATTGATGCCAGGGGTAGGCGCTGAAGCGTTCTTGCGAGCCAATGGACAGGAGCCTGACAATATTGCAAATGCAACAGCAAGCAAACTTGCAATCCAGGACGAGGAGCCTCCACAGGAAAACGATACCACAGACATGGCAGATGATCAGGATGAAGCAAACAAAGCAGATGATCAGGAGAAAGCAGAGGAAGCAAATGAGCCGGAGCAGACACAAGATGATCAGCGTACGAAGCACTACTCTCCAGGTCCTGAGGAGCCACAAGAGGAGGTGGAGGAGCCAAATTCTCCAGATCTTGAAGAGCCACAAGAGGAACAGGCAAGCGAGCAGGAAGAGGAGGCGGAAGACGAGGCAAGCACGCACGATGAATCGGAACTCCCTTTGGTGCTTCATGCACAGCAGAGGGTCCTCCGAAGGCCAGCGGGTAAACAGAAGAA